TCAGTCGGATTTATTATAGCGGCCGGAGGAAAACAGTTACACATCTCACATAAGACGTCACATTGTGTTTAAAGCCGTCGTGTGGATGAATTTTAGTTAAATTTAGCCTTACTTGGGTATGTTTACTTGTTTTTACTAACTTAAAAAGTTTCAACCGTGTCGCCTGAGCTCCGTCAATTGTTGACGTACGGCGCCATCGCTCGGTACCCTTTGCTAATCGCGCCTTTACGTCATCACGCTGCGACAAGGAAGTGCTGCTGTGCGCGTCCTTCACTCTGCCTAGTGCTGCTGTAACCAAACTCGTTACAAAAGTCTTGTTTTTGTTGATTTTGGGGGTTTTATGGAGTGACAGGAGCGAAGTGCAAAAGACAGAGATCCCTCGGTAGGTTTGAACCTTTCATTCAGTGAGTTTAATATCAGGTTACTTTCTTTTTAGATAACTGAAAGCTATTGTAAGTTCATTATTTGCTGTCTAATGTCAAACTGAACCTTATGCAGTGATGCCAAGCAAGTTGAACAAAGATGTTGTGTGGTGTATTAAGGCTTTTTTGAGGTTGTGAATTCACAGTATAAACATAGAGAAACTAGTGCAAACCTGATAGAAATTATATAAGGACAGTGTAAATACATGATATAAAGTAGCATCATTATTATGATAATGAAGTGACTACACTGAGATGTGAAAAATAGGTTAGTGTATTCCTGTGTACAGTACCTGATGCTTGTTCACTCTTCTTACAGCAGCAGCTCCCGTTTTAACTCATCCTGCCTTGTCTTTTGTGAAATCCCTCCAAGAGTCAAGACGTGATGACGGCTCCAAGTTCAGCAGAGAGGAAGGCATGCTGGGAGGCCAGGGACCAGCTGTGGAGATGTCTGGATGACAATAATGACAAAGCAACATGCTGCCAGAACTTTCAGAGTGAATTTGAGGCAAAATGCCCGGCTCAGTGGGTAAACTATCCCCTCTTTTTAACCCCCTATAAACGATAAAGTCTGATGTTTACATTTAGTACAGAACATGAGGTCAGAAATGAAGAAGTTTGTACTGTGAACAGTGCATCAAACAACTTGAAATCCTTTTGCTTCAAGCGCACACACTACCTACATGTAGTAGTGAGCCTAAGCTTTCACCATGCAAGTGTATTTCTTTGAGGTGTGAGCTGTTTGCCGTTTAAATTACATATTGCTGGATTGTTGCTCATGTTTTCCATTTTCCCTGGCAGGTGAAATATTTCATGAAGAGGAGGGACTTCTTGAAATACAAGGAGAAGATGCAGACAGATGGCTTCACACCTGCTGAAGGCCCCAAGCAGCCCTCCTAATCACAGAGCAGTAGACTGAACATCTGCAGAATGACTGACTATTGGACTCATTCAGACCATGGCCAGAGGTGAAGGAGTTGGAGAGCAATCTAACTTGATTGTGGACAGAGCACCTGTACTTCATCTTTATCATTATTTATTTGTACAGAGACATAAGCTGCACCAGGACACAATACATTTAAAGAACTTCAAATGGCAGCGTGAACGAGCGTCCATCCTCAGAAATATGTGGCGTCAGATCATGTTTACCAACCCAGCTTGTCTGAGATGCTTTGTAACCAAGGAAACCAGAAGGACAAAAGAGGGAAAAGATCCACACGTAATGAATCCAGTTTTCTTAGTTCACCTGAAAATTACATGTAATGTCACTGTGAGCAAAGTTAAAATTTTAAGAAAATTAAGTTGTAATACTTACGATTAATGCAGGCCTTACACATATTCTTACATACAGTACATGCTCTCACACACACACACACACTAATCCTCATACTGTCCAAGGTTATTTTTCTGATTGTTTATTGAAGACAAACCACTTCATTTATTAGCAGCCATTGTTTTATGTGTCCAGAGCACAGAGGGTTGTTCTGTTGTTTGGCTCAGATGATGTTTTTGTGCATTCGAACCAGTCATGAGTCTTGATGAATTCAATTATACTTGAGTGACAACAAATCCATGCTGATCTTTACTAATTGCTGATACATATTTTTTAATTTCCAGGCCTCATTAAGCAAAATCTCAAAAGTGTGACTGGCGTGTTGTTTGTGAATAAATAAAATCAACTCAGTAGTTTTAGTGGTTTTATTGTTGTACATGTACAATGTTTTACCATCCTAACTCTAGTCTGTATCTGAGTTGTTTATGAATGAAACATCAAGGTATAACACATAATTAAGGAATATTACAGCTCATTTGGAAACAGGCAAAGGCACATTATCTTTATATTACAAACCTGTATGTATTTACAAAGAAGTGTGGCCCCTGGGTCAAAGGTCACTGCTGCAACACCATCGAGATGTATGAAACCTTCAGTAGAGCTGAATAAATTACAAAAGTAAAACATAGGCTTCTGATTCTGCCTAAGGCCTATATTCATAATGTAGAGATATAAAAAAAAGGCACAAATTACATTTAAAATTTGTGTAAAAATATAAAGCATATCTTTTAAATTTTTTGCACAGTACAGTGAAAGTTATGTGCAAACCTCTTCACCGACAGACAACAGTTACTGTGATTTGACAGTTGATTGGACAAACTACTGCACCGTACGACCCTGTGCTCACTCACTCGACTCACTTTCTTAAATGCTTTGGATGCTGCGTTCAAAATAACTCACAACTGGCAGAGACTCTGTGGCTTCCCACATCTGTTCACATGCCAAGTGAAAAATCACACCTCCAAGGTGACGACAAATTAAGACCAAACATGGTCATCCTGTTGCTTAACACACTAAAGTAATACATTTCATAAAGATATACAGTATATATATATATTTTGTAATAATAACTGTAGCTACTGATACTTGATAAAGGTTTTTAAAGGTCCCATATAGTATAAAGGTAGATTTCCATATGTTTTTTGATTATAAAGCAGGTCTAGGTTCTATATTAATACTGTGAAAGTATCAAAGCCTCAGTCCACAGAGAAATGCACACAGCCTGTATTCAGAAACTGAGCCTTAAAATGAGCCGTCAGGACTTCTGTAACTTTGTGATGTCACAGGATTTGGTTTCTCTGATGTTTACCTCAAATCTGCTCTCCAAAACAGTCAGCCAATCAGAATCTCTTCTGATTGGCTGACTGACCCGTTGTTACTAGAGCTCCAGAGAGAAGCCAGAGAAGAGGAGATGTAAAACTACACTGAGATGGTTTTTAATTTTTTAAACCACAAATATATCTTCTCATGGATCAAAACTTCAAATAAAAACACAGGAAAAGTGTAAAATATGGACCTTTAAAGTGCTTTCTGCCTGCTGACTAACACAGAACTTCATTTTCATGGTTAAAAATCATTACACTGGCACAACCCAAGACTTCAGCTAGAGGAATTTTCTCAGATTTCATGACTTCATCATCTCGTTCTGACGTTTTCAGATGTATTCAGTATGACAGAAAAGCAGCATCTGGCAAACAGGCTGAATACAAAGAAGTAATTACAGAGAGAACAGTGAGGGCCTTGTTTGTAGAGTCAGAAGCCCCCTGCTGAATACACAGAATAATGGCAGGAGTGTGTCCAACCTCTCAAGCCTTCCAAAAGAATCAAGTCAGTATAAAATACATTATAGTGTGATTAGGCAACCGAACCCCGTCTTTCTATAACTTCCATACAGCACAGTACACATTCTTGATATTGTACTGGAGTTGAGTGCAGGCATACAGCTCAGTAAAAACAGGTGTACTCCTGCTTTCCGTGACTTAAGTGAACGGTAGTGAACCGAGGTCCTGCGCTGCTCAGAGGATACAGCAAGGTGCTAACACTGTCAGGGTTGGAGGTTGGATTCCCACCTAGTATAGGCATCTGGTAAAAGGCCCTAGCTGTATTGCAAGGTACTTGGAGTAAATGTGGCCATCAAATATCAACATGTTCACAGCATAATAGGGCACAAAAATCAGCTTTGGTAAAGACATCAGTCAGATATTAAGAGGCCTAGATTTCCAAACCAATGCAGATAGCAGCTAGGAACATCTATGGACAGTGTATGAGCTTTCACATTGTAACTAAGCTTTTATCTCCGTAGAAACAGATCATATAGATACTGGGTACATCTGAAAGACTTGATAATAAGTAGCTCTATGGATACAGTACATTAGCAGCCACAGTAAAAGCCTCTTTTCATGCATTTATCTTGTTTTCATACAGCAGTCAGCTCTTTTTTTCTTTTCTTTTTTTTACACTGTAAAGTGTAATCAAAGTGGAAATAAACCAGCCCACCATGTTGCAATGTATGCGATCTGGTTAAAGAGCAATACATCTAAGTGCAGCAGAAATTCAACAAGCATGCAGTAAAAAGAGGCTTGTCCACAATGGCCATGTAGCTTATTTCTATCACAACTAATCCACAGGAGAAGGCATGATGTGGTCCTAAAAACACTTTCCAGGCAGCTTCTAAAAACCTAACTTATCATTTTATCATTTTTCCTACCATAAATCCCAAAAAAAGGAAAGAAAAAAAAAACATCAGTTCTTGATCACCTCAAATACATTTATAGCTTTTAGTGATCTCTTCAGTGATTCAGTGAAAACAGAGTCTCCATCAAACTTCGTTAATGGAGGTAAAAAAAAAAAAAAAAAAAAAAGAAAAGCTGGAGGTCACAGCTCCATCCAGTGGCCAGTTTGACAAAGACATTCCTTATAACGCCCCCTTGTGGCGGATAAAAATATAATTCTAACTTAAATCTAAGCATCAGATATTGTTTTTTCTCTCTTCTCTTCTTCTCCTCCTTCCCTCCATCCATCTTCCTCCTTCAGGGCCAGTCTAACCAGTCTAAACTGTGAGCGAGACCATCCTCTTGGCACACCATATGTTGTCTTTCCACACAAAAACATTTGCCCCATCTCTCTCTCCCTCTCTCTCTCTCTCTCCCTCTCTCTCGCTCCCTCTCTCTTTCTCTCTCTCTCTCTCTTCCTGTCTCTCACTGTTTCATCCCATCTTCTTCCCACTGGCCCCATTGGACCGGTGGTTATAAGCTCCCGGTGACGTTCCTGGCCACCGCCCAGGCTGGGAACTCAGTCAGGTTGAAGAGGGGAACGCCCCACGTGGTTATGGCCAACATTACCACCGCCACGCCGATCAGGTTCACCCCGAAGCCTGCCTTCACCTGGAGGAGGAAGGGGAAATAAAGGACATGAGGACAAACATGCAGGGAAAATAAAAGCCAAATGGAATTGTGCCAAGAAGTGTCTACGTAAAAAACAAAGAATCAGCTTCAGCTTTTTCAGTTTTCCAAGAGTTAAGAAATAAAATAAATCTTCAACGTTCTGATTACGTAAAACAACTTTGACACACTGTACCCTCCAGCCTTTCGATGCTGCAGGTGCAGAACGAGCATGTGACTTTGTGCGTGTGTGTGTGTGTGTGTGTGTGTGTGTGTGTCGTACCATGTCGCTGATCTTCACGTGGCCGTAACTGAAGACGATGGCGTTGGGGGGGTTCCCGACTGGAAGCATGACCCCGAATGACACGCACATGGTGGACGGGATCAAAGTGTGGAGGGGGTTGATGTGCAGAGTCTCGGACTGCACGGAGGGGAGGGGGGGGGTGAAGAGGAGAGGAGGAGAGAGAGAAAGAGAGGCGGAGAGAGAGGTGGTACATAAGAGGGGAAAATGAAGTTGAGGTGAGGAGAAACGATAGAAGAAGAAAACGGGGGGAAGAATACGGTGAGAGGTCAGAGGTCACATGAGATCTACTACATTCTCAGATTGAGGTGCAGCTACACTAACACAAGAGTGTGGGATAATAATGCTCCCTGCTCACACGTGCACACGAGAGTAGGAGCCAATAATCCACATGGGGGAAGCAAAGACAAAGCTGTAATGCTGAAAATGGGCTGAAGGAAACATGTATATTCTCCAAAGCTGCGTAAACAACCCTTTGATAAGAATATGGGAGGAAATGTGTTTTCCAGGATAACAGCCCCACTTGCACTGACCTGTACACTGTTGCAACCATCCTTCACGTTAAGTATTTAAGTTAAGCAACAAGATGCTAAAACTGACTTCTTATTTTTTATGGTAAATTTTTAGTTTTTAGTTTCAGTTTTAAAAATCTGTTTTGCAACATATTTAGATATGTTTCATCTAAACACACAGATCACAGTTTTCCTGCTTTGGTGTCTCCCAAACTAACAGGGTGATGAGCTTTGAGCTCTGCAGACTGTCCTCTTCACTTGTCTGCACCCACTGCAGATGTTGTGCTCATACCGGTCACATATTTATATTCAAAACCTCTGTCTCCCAACTGATCTTTTTGTCTTTCTTTTCAGCCATACCACTTCTCGTTTTTTTCCCCGTCCCGCTCACCCTCTGCCTGACATTTTTTTCATGGTCATTAACAAGAGAGAGCGTGTGTCGTGTGTCGTACCAGCGCAGACAAGATGGGCAGGAAGACGGTGAGTGTTGCCGGGTTGGAGGCGAACTCAGTGACCGCTGACACCAGCAGGCAAGCCAGCAGGGTGACGGCCCAGGGAGGAAGACCACTCATGGGCTCCAGCTGTCTGCCGATCCACACCGACAGGCCTGACACCTGCACGCACACGCACACACACACACACACACACACACATATATAGACAAAACACACGTGAGCATCCTCAAACGCTAGTCAGTCTCTCACCTTCATGATGCAATGATGTCTACCTGGACCTCTGCTCCTTTGATCTTACATCCTTCATTTGAATCAAGGTTGTGTTTGACAGACAGTAACACCTTCTAACTTCCATCAAATGATCAGTACCAGATTAAATCCAGTTAGATGCATCTGAATCATATAATTTAGATCTGAAAAAATCATCTGAACTTCTCATCTAGCTCCCCCGACCTTCACGAGAAAACCTCAGTCTAATCTTGGAGAAAAAAAATTGGTCCCAACCCTCAACATACCCCTAAAATGCCACAGTGCTGTGATACAACGACACACACAAACACATGAACAGTACCTTGCATCCAGCGGCCAGTGCATAGCCTCCTCCCACCAGGATGACAATCTCCCACGGCATCAGTCTCTGGAAGTCCTTCCAGGTGATCATGGGAGCCAGCGGGTCAGACTCTGAATCATCATCTAGTGATCAATACAGCGGGGACGCTAAATTAGCATTAGCATTGTATTTATGACTTTAAAATCATTGTTATTTTTAGTTTGTATATTCAATATATAGTATATATAGTACATATATTTTCAATATATTCCAAATATTGCTTTTTGTTTTTAAAACGGTTCATTATTTACTGTGTTTTGCTAAGGCTGGAAAATTATTTATTGTATTGTATATGTATAATATTTTTAGTAATTTCCTGATCATTTCCCAGAAACTTAAAAAAACAACCATACAAAATACAAACTTCCTTGAAAGAAAAGGTGCATTTAAACTGAAAATATTCATTTATTATTATTCATTTGTTATTGGAGGATTTATCACCCAAATGTGTTGTATATGTTTTTACATACATTTTTGTTTTATTTCAGCAGACCTATTGTGCACTGATGAAAGACTGCCCAGCAATTAATCTCAATGTATTAGCAGTAAATACTGTTCATGTTATATATCATAATGCAAAAAAAAGATTCAAATTGTTGAAGATCATTCTTATAGTTTGCAGTTGTTTGCCTGAACTACATCAGCCTCTCTTTTCTGTGATGGTGTTTACAGGTTCAAAGACTGAGTGTCAGCACTAAACCATCATGTGCTAAGCAGCGTGAAACAGTGATAAATAATAAATGTTAGACTTTTCCAGTGTGTTTCAAGCTGTTGCACAGACATGGAAAACACCAGCGTCTGAAGCTGAGCAGTTTCTCTGACCCACTGAACCTGCAGCCTGAAGGCAGTAAATCAACCTGCAGAGCATGGTGACACAAACAGGGGCCTGTTGGAACAAGAGCTACTCATTTTGAATAAAGCCAAAATATATACTCCCAAACTTAAGACGTCATGGCAACTGTGAACGCTTTTGTGTTTCTATTGTTTGATTAATGCTTCTCTGAGACCCAGATGAATGGAGTCAACCATAACAACCACGTTGTGATGTTCGGTTATCTGATACGTTAAACCCCACCCGGCTGGTGCCCTGAGGAGATGAATCAAACATAACACAGGTAAATGAAAAACTGCCAGATGGACGAGAGCATGGTGCTGACCTGTGTCTCTACAGCTGGAGGGGGAGGAGGAGGAGAAGGGTCGCCTGGCAGGGATGAGGAAGAGCAGGAAGCCAAGAAGCACAGACACTGTCGCATCAGTCCTGTATCCTTTCCTGAGAACATACAGCAAAAATTAAAGATGGAGAAGAAGAAGAGATTTCAATATTCACTACATAAACCTGATCTGATGGTACACCTGCAGGCCCTTTCCTTATGTTTCATGACAAAAATGTAAACTATGGGTTTAAAGGTCCCATACAGTATAAAGGTAGATGTCCATGTGTTGTTTGATTATAAAGCAGGTCTAGGTTCTATATTAATACTGTGAAAGTATCAAAGCCTCAGTCCACAGAGAAATGCACACAGCCTGTATTCAGAAACTGAGCCTTAAAATGAGCTGTCAGAACTTTTGTAACTTTGTGATGTCACAGGATTTGGTTTCTCTGATGTTTACCTCAAATCTGCTCTCTAAAACATTTGGCCAATCAGAATCTCTTCTGATTGACTGACCGACCTGTTTTTACTAGAGCTCCAGAGAGAAGCCTGAGAAGAGGAGATGTAAAACTACATTGAGAAGGTTTTTAATTCTTTATACCACAAATATATCTTCTTATGGATCAACACGTCAAATAAAACACAGGAGAAGATGGAAATGTGGGACCTTTAATAATCAAGGTTATAAGTTCAGATGCGAGTGCATGCATATACAGTGAAGTCACTGACATACTTAAAATGTATATGCACATTTCTGTCCCTGTGACAGTGTGACCACTGATCACTGTCTGATCTCTAACACATGTTAGTGATAACAACATCATTCGTGGTGGTGTGTCGCAAAATCGTGGCCACTTACTTCTCAAAGAGAGACGTCCAGCCGGGCACGAAGCCTGGCTCTCTGGTGAACCACAGCAGAGTCATCAGGATGAAGAAAACACCGGTCACCACCTCTGGGTAACTGGGAGACACACACACACACACACACATACACAGAAACCACAAAAAGACTGTCAGCAACAATTACATGAGTGATAACATTGTGTCATGTCTAGATGTGTGAGTAAGATAAACACACATACACACACACACGTCTTTCCATAATCTTAACTATCACAATTACATGTTTAACCCCAACCCAACCTTAACTGTAAAACCGAGTCTTAACCTTCAAACAGTCCTTAAAGCAGTGAGGACGAGACAAATGTCCACAACATACATTAATGTCCTCACTGTGATAGTTTCAAACTGAACCTCAGACAGAAATACAAGCCCACAGTTTACTGTTGTTGTGTATTGGGCCTTTAAAGGGGCTATGTGTAAGTTGTTCTGCTGCTGAACATAGTTTCTTGTCAGGAGCAGGTGGTGGTGATTGTCACTTGGCAACAGTTTCAGCCATTGTTGCAGTTACAACACAAGAGGTTGTAATACGTCAGCGCTACGTCTTCAGGGCAGACTGGAAGCTAAAGAGAGTCGCTATCAGAAAGTGACAAGACGGGCCGGGGCTAGCTGGTTAGCATGCTAACTTCAGTAGAAGAAAAGACGTGATAGAGACAAGAGTTGAGGAATGAATTTGATGTTGAACTCAGAACATTTCTTCTGGACTGGTAATTAAACAGTTAATGCTAAAGTTAGCTATGTAGCCGTATCAAAACTTACAAATAGCTCCTTTAAACGTCTTTTATTACACAAAATGTGTGACACAAACTTTTTATATCTGTTTGAATGGTATATTAAGCTTGACATTTTTGCAGAAGTTATAATTGCTAACAAATCTAAATCTGATCTTAAACTCTTGATTTTTTCCATGAGTTTCTGTGGCTAAGACCTCCTCCAAATGATCCTGGAGTGTTTATGTGGTTTCAAAGTTTCCACGGCAGTTGGGCTGAAAATCACCTGAATATAATAAATGTGTTAAACACAGGGGGGAGACACACTGTTTTTATTATTATCACTATTGCCGTTACATTACATTAGTCCCCACAGGAAACTCCCGTGAATACAACCTCAAACACTACATGGACATCCAGTCGGGAACACACACACACACTCACACTCACAGAAACACTTGTACACACCTGATGGGTCCCAGTTTTGTGTACTCCTCATGGATCCTCCTCTCTGACAGCATCTCTCTCTTGGTTTTGCGTTTCTTACTCAGCGAGCATGTTTCCCTGAAGCTGAACACACAACAACAACAACAACAACAACAACAAAACATTCAACCACACGGCAACCTGACACACTCGCTCATGCAGCCACAGGACACAGAGCGGCGCCGCGGTTCAACATCTATAGACAGAGGGACTGTCATGAGTCTATAATGATAAGATGTTAAAAAGTGGACGCACACACAGTAATCACACATCAGAACACTCACTTGCAGCCAAGGAAGAGGAAGTGCAGCCACAGCCAGGTGAGGACCAGCATGATGATGGCGATGGGGAAGCTGAAGATGAACCACGTGCCGAAGTTGATCACCTTTGCGTCTGGATAACGACTGGAGAGACACAGAGAGAGGCACATACTGAGTTTAGGATGTCTGTGTGTATGTGTGCAGGTTGTGTCCTTTCACATTTTATCCAATGGTACCTAGAGGTGACATCAGGAAGGAAAGGAGCTGGTGAGAAATGTGTCACACTGGTTTGATGTGTGATTTATTGAAGATTAAAGCCTAAACACAGTCTCTTTAAAGGCTGAACCTCATGACCACTGAGCGCTCTTGTCGTGATAGAAATTGAACCTCATCAGGGTTAAGAATAACCATTTGAACCGCATCAACCGCACACCTTGACCCTGCATGTGTGTCGTGTGTTTGCTCTGACTGACAGCTGCTATCGCTCCCATTTTCTTATCAGTGCAGCAGCAACAGCTGACTCTCGGCGCTGATAAGAGGCCAGTCAGTGTAAGTAAAGCCTGCAGGGATGAGGGGTCACTGGACATTCACTGTAGTTACAGTGGCTGATGTGTTCTAATCTTCTGTGTGTCTGTATCTCCTTCACCTCTGAAGGGAAGTCAATAAGGGATAACGGCTGTTACCTGAACTAACCTAATCAGGACACCTCATGAGAACATAAAGGGCACTACTTTACAATAAGGCACCAAAAGGTTTTATCTGGTGTAGCCAGTGCTTCACAGATCAGTTATAAACCAATACTTAGAAACAATTTTTGGTTTGTTAGGTTGTGAATAATACTTTTTAAATGTATCTTGATGTTTGATGCTCGACCTCCAGAAAAACAGCTGCAGAGCATCTGGATGAAATTCACATATGCAGCATTGTTGTTTCGAACTTCAACAACTCATGATAGAAGGTTTGTAATCACAGTTGCAATCACAGTATTAGAAAGTGCACCTAGCAGAGCGCAGACCTCCGCTAAGGCCAAACAACCTGCACCAGATTTCAAAGGAAATAAATCAAATTCGTAGCTGATGATTCAGAACTGCCCCAAAATTGAATGCTTTCTTCCCTGGACCATGAACCAGCCCTGCGCCAAGTTCAGTACAAATCCGATCAGTACTTTTTGTGTAATCCTGCTGACAAACAAACAAACAAACCAACCAACCAACCAACCAACCAACAGAAACAGGTGATTACATAACCTCCTTGGCAGAGGTAACAACTACACCTTGATTGGTTGTTGTGAAACCCTTTATTAGTGGCTTAAAACATTCATAATAACAAATGACTTACTAAATTTAGTAAGTCCGTAATGAGAGACTCGTGACCCTTTGTTAATGACTTCCTATATTTATAATTGTAAACTCAATGTTTATTAGAAATGATCTTCTATCAGTGACTTGACTGTTTGGACTGGTCAGCAGGGAGATTCTTCACAACCTCATAACCAAAAGCTCTTACTAATAGATTTTAACTGATTCATAAATCATTAGTAAAATATGTATAACATTAATAAAGGATTAGTAACAACTTAATGAACTTTTAAAAAAGGGTGCCTTACTAAAAAGTAGAATAACTTAATTTTGAACACATTCCTAATGTCTGATGAGAATCTATTATTTTAGCTTTCACAGTAAATGTATTTTCAAAAGATGCATTGACACTGCCAGCTTCTTTAGTAGTTTCTGGAGCTGTCTGATGGTTTGATTACGGAGCAAGTAGATCAAGAAAGTCCTCTTAATCCACCCGGGCTCAGTGACACGCAACAAAGGCCCAAGTGACCGGCACTCGTTCACTTGAAGTGAGCTTTTGGAAACAAAAGAGCGACACAGAGCGAAGCAACGGCACATCTCAGACCTCAAAAAGAGACTTTATCCAAATGAGCAGCAGAGAAATGTAGCAACAGTTCCTGTGAGGCTTCATTTTTAGTTCACTGTCTTCCTCTCAAAACCAAAACATGAAAAAAATTTCTCTGGAGTTGCTTTTAGATGTTCCAGGACTTTCTGGTTTCATTCCTCATAATAAATCTATTGTGAAAGAGGATGATCCATGATATCACTAATACAAAGTAAGTAAATTAATCTGCATCCATCAGCATTCTAACACTATTATTACCACTGCCTGTGGTTTGTGTATTTCCTCCAAAGCTCCACGGTGTGAACAGGGGAAGAGGGGCCACACGTGAAAATAAGTCAGTTATTCTCTGTTTTATTAAGAAAAGAAAAAAGTCCTATTGACTGTGTCTGTGTCTGTGCAGTGGTTCGTCTCCAGTGCACTTAAAGCTCTAACAGAGTCTCCACTGCTGTGTCATTCAAAGCTGCAGAGGTGATAAAGTGTGTTTGCTCAGACGTGCTTCACTGAGCGCTGTGCTGTACGGACACTAATCAGGGTAAAGGTGACATTCAGAGATGATGATGATGATGACAATGATGACGATAACGATTGTGCTGCAGAAACCCTGCCCTCTGCTCTATATCCCTCAGGCATCCATCATATTAATCTTAGTTTGAGTGCATTTACAGTATATTGATGCACTGGAGAATGAACAAGGACCAATGGAATCAAATTGAATCGAAATCCAGTTACAACATTGTTTCCAAACCAGTGATGTAATCCCTACTGGTAAATACAAAAGTAGGTAAACTATGACTTCCAGTTTACCAATGTTTGTTTGTCTTAAACCAATGAACATGTCTTTAGTTTGTTAGTGTTGAGGATTAAATGAGAGTCTCTGCACCAGTGTACTAACTCCTCTATCACAGGACCATGTTCTGTCTCTGTATCAGTTAAAAGTAAAACTGTGTTATCAGTATTGTTTATCAGAAATCTACCTGGATGCTGAATGATGCAGCTGTTGGTTCATAAAGTGAATGAAAGAGGAGACAGATCAGACAGCCGCTCACCTGTTCTCACTTGCTGTGTTCTGCTCGTTAGAAAATCCAGAATCCAGGATATAAGGTGAGCACTAAGATGGAAATGATGGCTAAGCCTTTCTGTTCAAGTAAATATATCAATCATATTTAAAGTACATGAAAAATCAATACATAATAATCTCACTTGGCACCTGGATTAATCCAGATGTTTGTAAAGCAAATTCAACAAGGTTAGAATCACATCCTCGACTCCCCTGAGAGTCTAAAAAGCTTTGTACTTCAGATTATGTGGCTCTTCGTCAGTTTTTTAAAACCATTCATGATAAAAAAAAAAAAAGTCAGATCAAACTGGCTGTTCATCATTTAGACCAGAGAGGAAGATGGATTCCCAACTGTAGGCACAGGGATGATCCGACAACGGGAAAAGTCAGGGGACAACTCATCTGAAGGGGGACGTGAATGTCTGAGATATTTCACTAGTAAAGTGAAAAGTTACAAACTTAAGTTTTGGAGAACTGCTGTTGGCTTTAGATGACAAGTCAGAGATCATGAAAGTATTGAGGATTTATCCTCAGAGTACCGTGGACATCTGTACCAAATTTCATGGCTATCCATCCAATAGCTGTTAGGATAAAAGCCAAAAATATAAACCTCATGTTGGCACTAGAGGAAAAGTCAGGAGATCATTGAAGTCATTACACACAATCCTGGTGGAGCCTCCACCAAAACTACTACACCAAACTACAAAATGAATAAAATATCATCGAGATCATCGAGCAGCAAATGCAGAAATACTGAGAAAACAGGAGGTTCTGTATAAATCTGTCTGTATATACGGCTATATGTTTAAGTGTGTGTGTGTCTGTGTAGTGTTGACAACAGAAGGTCGGATATTTATCATTCACCCCAGGCACAAGGTCAAATATGTGTGTGTGTGTGTGTGTGTGTGTGTGTGTGTGTGCGTGTGTGTGTGTGTGTATGTGTGTGTGTGTGTGTATGTGCGTGTGTTGTGGAGACAAGCTGATTGTGTGGCCTTGATGTACTCGCATGGACACAGACTAAAACTTGGACTGACTGACCTAATCACACAGCGGCCTTATTTACCAGCGGCCCCTCCCTCGTGAAGTCGACCCGATGCTGTTTCTACTCTCACAATATGTGAAAAACTTCACTTCAGTGCTTTGTGTTTCATTTCAATTTATTTGACTGCATACAAATATAATTTGGGGTATTTTAAAATTCACTGCTTGGACTGTTTGCTGCTCCTGGTTAATATTACCTTGGGATTACAACTACTACCACACACACACAAACCCACACGCACACACACACACGCGCGCACACACACACACATCGAATCAAAAGCTGACCTTTGTCCAACAAGCTGCGACATGAAGGAGGCCATTCTGCCGGGCTTAGCGCCACGGCTGGAGGAAATCGGCTCTGTTCGGGCTGCAGAGGCTGATTAGTTTGATCTCAGACCCTGAATGCGCCGCAGACACTGAGTTAACATGAAGTGTTTGAGCCCGACCGGCACAGCAGCCAAGAAATCACTCAAGCTGTAAATATGATTGTGTCTGCAGGCGTCCGGAGCTAATGCCAGACCAAAAATATCTCTCTGATACCAGCACAGAAGAGTTTTCAAAGCTGCTTTAATATCTATTTTTACTGTCAGTGGATGGTGGATTGATTGTCAACTCATTACACAAGTGACTGTGTGTTTGTGTGTGTGTGTGTGTGTGTGTGTGTGTGTGTGTGTGTGTGTGTGTGTGTGTGTGTGTGTGTGTGTGTGTGTGTTTGCGCATGTACCTACGTGTTAAACTGCTCAGCAAAGATGAGGTTGGTTGACGTGCCGGTGATGGTGATGAGTCCTCCGATGGTCGCAGCGTAGGTGATGCTGAGCGACAGGCATTTACAGATCATGTGATCCCTCTTGGTGGGATACTGCGAGTCCCTCCTGGCCCTGACCCGCTTCACGTTTGGGATTTCGATTGCAACCTAAGGAGAGAGTGTGAAGAATGATGCGAATGAACGGAGAGTGTACCTGACGTTAATTGATCGTAAGTGGGAAGAGAAGGGGGGAGAGGGGGGTTTGTTTTCGCTTCTCTTTCCGGCCTCATTAGCCTCCAATAATATGCTCCTAACCTGCGGCAGGTGTCCATTGGTGTGTCTGATGAAGCCGTGGTTTGAAACTGGCCTCAGACCCAAACCATTTACCTCCGCAGTCTGTACCTGAGGACGAGAGACAGAGACTTCACTTACAGCTCATGGATTCCTCTGCTCTGCTGCTCAGTATCTGACCAGTGTCAAACCCTCACCTCGCTTAGCGTGGAGAGCTCCTGTTTAGTGCAGTCACTGATGGAGAGAGATGGAAAAACAATGGTAATGAGAATTAATGGTAACAAAAGCCATCAGGACAGGCAAACCAGGCATATGTTTGGGACCCCCGATAGTAAAATAGGCCCTTGATGACCCCTCCTATTGGCACATTTTGCAGTGAGAACTATAAACCTCTTGAACCTCACGTAAAGACACAATACAGTGCACTGCTGTTGCCCCAAAACCCCCTGTAAGTGGGTCCCCTGATGATGCGTGCTGTAGCTAGCATCTATTGATAATCTGCATACGAGGCGTTTAGGGGAAATCTGTAAATTTAAGTGTCTGCAGGTGAGGCGTTTAGGGGACATCAGTAAATTTAAAAGTGTACCGATAGTCTGCACGTGAACGAGTGGCGTCTGCATATGAGGTGTTTATGGGACATCTGGGGGCATCCCACAGAGTCTAGGTTTGCCACTGAATATGTTAACACAGAAACACACAACACACACACATGTACCTGTCGTTGCGGTAGAGCAGCTCCAACTGGTTCTTGTCCAGGTTCTCTTCTTTGTCTGAAACAGCTGTAGACAACAACATTCATTATCACAGCGAATCCACAATCTGCTTCTCTAGCACAATATCCTTTTACCCCCCTGGAGCAAGACGTACCGCTGTCGTCCTCGGGGGCCTCGGCGGTTTCAGAGTCGTCATGGCTGTCGGCCAGACCGGTGCAGATGAGCTGCTGCAGGACGGCCTCAGCTATGGGCATCACCATGGCTGTGGTGGACGTGTTGCTGAGCCACATGGACAGAAACACGGTGCAGCACATGAAGCCCAGCACCAACCTGGATGAGAGAGAAAGGGGGACGTTGACCCATGTGTGTGTGTCTGTCTTTAGACCTGTGTAGTAAGGACATATTGATCAGTCTTTACCTCCTCAACTCCAGTTTTGCAACAGGATTAAGTGTGTATATTTGGGCGTGCATGTATGTGTGTGTGTGTGTGTGTGTGTGTGTGTGTGTGTGTGTGAATACAGCCAACTCAATGCATGAACGTGTGTGTGTTGCTCACATGCCAGGCTTGGCCCCTGCGATCATCACCATGCGCAGAGCGATGCGTTTGTGCAGGTTCCACTTCTCTATGGAGGCTGCCAGGCAGATGACTCCCATCAACAGCAGAGTGGTGTCTTTACAGTACTCAGCTGCAACCTGAACACACACACACACACACACACACACACACACACACACACACACACACACACACACACACACACACATAAATGAAGCAGATCCAAGGAGACAGGAAGGAGTCACGGGGCCTTTTGCTTTTCCCTCCTTCACCCACTTCCCTACTTCACCCTCCTCGGTTTGGATCAACACTTAGTTTGCCAATTGTTCTTTTTAATCTGCTCTACTTCCCACCTGCAGGGTTCACGGCCTCACAACATTGTATAAGCCTGTGTCTGCTCACCTCTCACCTAGAACCTGCTGCACTTCCTCCTCCTTCAAACACAACTTCATTACCCCGTGTTTGTCATTTCCATGGTGGATGAACACTCAAAAAAAGAAAAAAAATAGAAAAAATAGCAGTTCCTCAACCACTTGTGCTTCACCAAATAGCTAGTTCAGCCTTTAAAATTCCCTCTATCAGATATTTGGAAAGTGATTTTATTGATATTTCTACAGTTGCAAATAACAATTTTCTCTTGATTAATAGGTTAGTCTATAAAATTGTGAAATCACAATTTCACTATCCAAACAGACGTCGCCCAAAGGTAATCAATTTATGATCAAATAAGACAAATGCAGGCAGGAAATCCTCACATGTGCAAAGTTGTAAACAGTGGATAATCATTGCTTTGCAATGACAATATGAGCTGTTATCCCACTAGACAGGAGGATTAGACAAGAGTAAATAATAAAACTTTTTACTGCTCACTCACTGCTGACTAATGAAGGCTTTAGAGAGCTGAGATATGAGCTCCAGGTTTGAAAAACCAGAGGACATATGCACCATACATGCCCTTAAGACTGGTCGTCTGATTCCTGTCTCCTGTAGTTTCTCAGTTCATCAGTCAGTTCAATCTTCAGTCTTTGGTTTGAGGAGAAACTTAAGAGACTTAATATTTAATAAAATGAGCTCCGCTCTGAATTATCAGCATTCAGCAGCCAACAGAAACAAGCTTTAATGATTCAATTAGTCGTGGATCTTTAAGTGGATCTGGCAGTGACTCATGTGGGAAACTGGGGGTATGAGGGGGAGACTGGGAGAACCATAATAGACTGGAAATGTTGCATAAAGCTCTGCGCTGGCATATTTACAGAACAGCATCACAAGAGGCTTACAGCAGCTTTGTCACTGTTTGTCAATGCGATTTGGTCACATGAGGTATACAACTCACTTTTTATGTAATGCTGATAAGAGAGGTGAAGAAGAGAGGGTTTAATGGAGGGGAAAGTAAGAGTGTGTTACTAGTATAAAACCAATCATATCTTTACCAGGGCGGAGAATCAGACAGAGCCTGACGGTGCTTGGTGAAGTGTGTGAGCGGCCGGGTGGAGGCACATGTGAGCGCACGCACGCACTCAGATACGAGAGAACGCTGAGGAACATCGGCAGGATAATGATGATGAGTGCGAGGTTAATGGGTTTTTTTTCTATACGCTCCATAGAGTCACGGCTGATAAAACCTTTACAGCCGCGCAACGACGCCTCTGGTTCACACTGACACGTAACACAACAAGTAACAGAGCGCTGCAAAAGCCCTGATGGAAACCCCTTAAACACACAAGTGGATCCAAGATGTTGCAACGTACTCAGTGCAGTTCACAGCACAGAAAGCCCTTTCACCCATTTTCTCTCTGATCTGGAATTACTGTACATCCACATATACAGCAATCTGATCAGCTGACTCTCACTACCAGCACAGTAACACGAAGTAACACCCTGATATCCCAGCATTCCAGTTCAGCCCAACACCGTTCACCGCCTGCCCTAAATAACACAAGCGCACTGTAAGCGTTACACACTGGAGCATTTACAGTCAGAGCCACTGTTTACTCTGCATACGTTTATCCTTCCCAAACCTAAAAGTTACAGATAAAGTGACGTCTTGTAACGGACAGTAGATGGGGAATGGGGATCCTCAGTCAACATTTCAGCATAGGCTTATTCAGATTAAGGCCAACAGAGTTCATTATTGGATACGTATACACACACACCAGTGACACCAATTATGTCTGTATTTGTGTTGAAGAAATGTAAATATCCTGTCTATGAGGTTCATTTGTTTCACTGTGCAAAGATCAACAACTCCTCCAACCTGAACGACCATACAGGTTGTTGTTTTTTTAACCTCTGATACGACCCATAGGAGTGTCTCCTGAAATAACGCCCCTACCGCGGCAGTCGTACCAGACCTTGGTTGTTATGGTTACAATAATAAACATGCGGACCACACCGACAGCGATGTGCCTACCTTCGTCGCCATGGTTACTATAATAGCGACCATTACTTGGTTAGATTTAGGCACAAAAACTACTTGGTTAGGTTTAGTAAAAGATTGATGATTTAGGGTAAAATAAGTAGACATGATCTTTGTTGTCATGGTTACAATATAAGATGCTGGTTTCACAACATGTGGAGGAGTCCAATTCCATTTTTATTTGCTGTTGATTGATAGAAGAGGATGTTGTCTGGCAGTGATGAACCCACAGAAAATTATCACCCAACTCTTCAGCCTCATTTAGATTCTTATCTTTTCTAGCTCAATGTTTCCAGCAGCAACAGGCGGCCATTTTTGTTTAGCAAAGGAGCTGTGATACGTAAGCTAACTGTGCTGCTAATGAGTCTGAAACAAAATATGAACATTGTTTTGGGGATAAAAACTAGAAAACGTTTAGGCTACGTGTCAATCTACAGTCTACAGACAGGAGAGACTCACCTCGCTGGACTTCAGTACCCCAAAGAGCGGGTAGAGGAAGGCTGGGACCAGAGCAGCAGCGCCCAAGGGAACAGCCTCTGACACCCAGTAGACTGCCGTCACCATCAGCACGTACGCGCAGCATGCCTCCTGGAAGAAGGATAGTGAACATTGAATGCCTCATCACCTGCTTCATATCAGAAGAGACACAGGTTTGTGCTTCTTTTTTCAGGCACAACCAAAAGCAGACATATTTAGACACATATGGCAGCTATGAGAAACAAGCTAGGTTAGCTGTGTTAGCTAGGTAGCTTTATGCTGTGCTATCATTGGTCTCATGTAATTCTCTGTGAATTTCCACAAACATTGAACTATTCCTTTTAATTGTGACAGAAAGTCACAAGGTTCAGAATGACACACACACATCCATGAGCGTGCACACAAACACAGACATGCACTTTTAGGCTCATTCAAATATTACAAATATTTGTGCATGCTTTGTGAACTGAAGTGTTGTCAAGATAGTGGGGAGTTTACGCATGTAAACAACACAAACAACACAAACACGCACACTGATGTTGCATTAATCTGTTTGTGGTTATATAATATCAACATACCAGTCCCTCATGCCGCTCTGTGGCAACGGGCTTAGTGACAGGCTTCAAAACTAAAGAGGAATCTCGTGACATTTGTTAAGACCTTATGAAAATGAACCTTATAAATCACTTAAACCCCAAATTCAAGCTTCTTCCAGAGATTCAGCTGCACTTTAAATTTAAATTCTGGCAAATTTAACATAATATATTGAGGATAAAGCATGAAATGTCCTTCCTGTTCATGTTTTTCACCCTGGTTTACAATATTATATCCGGATAGTGTTTTATTTGTTTCGTCTCACCCGCCCACATTAGCCTGAAACATAAGCGGTTCCCGCCACTGACACATGCTGTGTGAGCTTGTAGTACTTTTACGTAAGCAGAACATTGAGTATAACATCTTGCAGTAACAGGTCAGTTAATCTCAAATTAATAAACCCAGAGGGGGGAGAATTAGCTGCAGGGCTCCAGCATGAGGCGAGTCCAGACCTGTTCAGACCTCGCAGCCACTTGAACCATGGACTTCTCAGAAATACTGTTAATATGATAAATCACCTGCTCAGTGTATTACACTAACTGCGACTTTACTGACTACTGATTAAATTGCGTAACAAGTTTCATGCACCTTTTTTTTGTGGGCAATAATCAAGAACATGAAAAGATGTAAATTACAGCCTTTCATTCAAAAAATCCTCTAATATAAATATAATTTTTTTTTCCTGCAGTGGGAAACATACACAAGCAGAAACAGCTGGATCCAAACAGTATGTTAACTACAGCTAAACCAATACATCAACCAGGTCGACATGTTGGCCAATATCATCTTATAGCAGATCAATATCAGTATCAGTGTGTATGTCGGGCGACAAGCAACAAGAAATTGCAGGAAATTTAGAAACAGTATCATTATTACACTGTTTGTCCACAACAAAGCACTGATGAGATGATTTTTACACTGTACACAACTCGTCCACACAATTTAAAAAAAAAAAGCTGTAACTGTGAGTTCTGTCTGTGAAAGGACTCAACACCCCGTTAACTTCTTCTGTCGTTTGTTACATGGGGGAAACATGAAACCTCAAGCCCCAACTGCTTCCTGTGGTAGAAACTTGCTAAATAAATCCACACAATTAAACCTGACTCATAACAATAAAACTCACAATAGAATGAAACGATCTGGCGTTAAAGAGTCAATGTACTGTATGCCTGAAACATTCAAGACTTAAGCATTTATTTTCACTCAAGAAATACCACAAGCAGGTCACAGTCTCATCCTAAAAAGGCATAAAAGTCAGATTTTACAACATATATATCTGTCACACAGCCTCATGGTACCTGTTGTTGCTGCTTGTGTCAAAAAAGTAAAAAAAAAAAAAGAAACAAAGAAAATCTTAAATATAAAGAAATCCTGTGAAGTGACACTGAACTGCGCAGCACCTGCAGAGTCTGCGATGCCAAGATCGAAGATGGAAGCTAAATTTAATTTGTCTCTTTGAGCAGAGAACGTGTGAATTACAGTTAGAAGTGATGATTCAATAAAGAAAGGTTAACATAACAAAGTCTGCAAATAAAAACATAGGCTAAATAAGACAATTTTTGATAGGTTGACACATGATTCTACACCTGATTGCAAGATTGTTTTTATTCCTTGTTGCTTGGCCTCTGGTTGCTCTGAGGCTACGTCCACACTGATGTGTTTAACGCCGTTTTAAGACAAAAACGATCTCAGTCCAGACAAGTGCTTTACCTCCGTATCAGAAATAATCTCCATCCATACTATCACACCTGAAAACACATATCACATGACCATTCACATACACTGGACATGAGCATACTGGTGTAAACAGGAAACAGATTGTTTACTCTGCAGCTGCAGTTTTGTTTTTCATAGTTTTGTTTTGTTTTTTTTTCCGACAGCACACTGAGCGAGATACAGGAAAGTCAGGGTAGAGAGAGAGATGAGACCCAATCAGGGAGCGACTGTGGTCGTCTACGTCATCGTTTCCAAGAGTCTAAGTTTCTGCCCATCCAGACTAAAACGCCACCCGGCAGTTTTCAAACTAAAACGGATCCAGCAGAAAACCCTGCAAACTGGAGTAGTGCGGACGCCAAGTGTAACCGTAGCAAAAGAGATGCGCTTTAAAACTAAAACGTGTTAGTGTGGACGTAGCCTAAAGCCACAACCTGTGCCCCTTTGTGGACGCTTTACTGTGGATTTACAAGGAACTTGGCAAGAGGAAAGAGGCATTTCCAGGCATTAGGCACAGCCGCTGGATTAGGCTGAGAACAGAACGAGGTGTTTGGGTTCATAATCAAAGAGCCTCCACAAAGAAAATATTACAGCAGTTTCCACCCCCTCAGAACAAATACCAATGTCATAAAGACAGAACATATGATTAAAAAAATAATAATGTCCTCCTGCGTGTTCTTCCACTCTCAAACACAACTTCACATTCAGGAAACATGAGGTGACTGAGGAGGCTGATGACAGGATTAAAGCACAGCAGAGATTGACCTGTTGATCTGAATGGGAAGAGGAAAAGAGAGGTGGCATGAGGGAAGAGAGGACAAATAGATAAACAGAGACAAACAGGGATGAATAAATAAACACACAGGGACAGAGATGGTCTGATTCAGCAGTCACTGATCATGGATTATCTGTTTATCAGGGGACAGTGGCCACACAAAGAAGGCGGCTTCAATCAGATCCTTAAAAATTCATCTGAGCTTCTGTTTTTCTTCGTTCTGTTTGGCAAGTTGAAGCCAAAGTGCTGGGTAAGCAGAGAGGCAGGCGATGTGACCTCTGTGATAACCAGACTTTATACTGAGACGTGTCAGCGAGCAGGAGTCAATACACGCTGGTACTGTGATGGAAGAGAGCCTGTGTTTGCTTTAAAGTCAAACCTGCCTTAGAAGTGAAGTGATCATTCTTAAAAATCAAGTTTGTATCTTTTTAAGAGAAACAAAAGGAGTGACTGGAATATGAAAGAGCCTCATTTATTTACCTGCAGGTTATGTTTGCAGCAACTGACATTTTTTTTTAGGTAAATAGTGGACGCCAGAGAAGCAACTGCTGCTGTGACAAGCATGAAAATTTAAAAACTGGGCGAAAGTTCACTTGATTTTCTGAGGCGACAAAAGAATGTGATGCTGGAGACAGTGTGTGTGTGTGTGTGTGTGTGTGTGTGTGTGTGTGTGTGTGTGTGTGTGTCAGCAGGTTGCACTAGGAGGTTTGAGCCATAATGGAGTTTCTGGAACAATCAGGTTTGCTGTAACTCCTGTAACCAAACATTAAGGCCTGTATCTGTACTAAAATCATTATTATTATTATTATTATTATTATTATTATATCATCAATATTATTTATATTATTTGTAGCTTTAAAGAAGACAAACAAAATGCTGCAGACTGAAAACAGCAGTCCTGGCCATATGGTTATATACAACTTGATATATATATATCTTATGTTATGTTACACCATGGCCACAGAGGATCCTGGTTGGTCAGAGGGTGTGCACTACTATTACATTTTTCACATTTTTATTGTTAATATTTTAAATGAAGAAAAAGTGATTATATTAAATCCACCTGACTTGCAGTACTTGTCTTTAATTAATCTTCTTTTTTCTCATTACTGTTATGCAGCAGAACAAAATCCTCATATGTGAAAACCTGCTTGGCGATAAACCTGATTCTGATTCATTAGCAACATTAACAACATTAGCATTCTACATTAATTAGCTAAAGGCTACATTTTTTCTGCTAGTCCACTCGTTTTGTTGGCTACTAGCACAGAATTACAATTAAAAGAGGAAGTTGCACCAAATCATGGATGCACTCTACTGTCCATAGAATGAGGAAGATTGTCCCTCCTGACCTGTGCAGTTATGAAAAGTAACTCTCTCCTGCCCCCTGCACTTCCCCTTTGGAGCTACTAGCTTCCCCATCGTGTGCTGCATTTGCAATAATACATAATGCAACAAAGGGCTGAGGCTGGGATTGAACCAGAGACAATGCAACTTTATAATGTAATTGAACCACAAGTAAATACTATTAAAATAAATTTGTAACGATGCATTTGATTTCTTATTGACTTTATCTTTATGCACTGTACAAAACAAGCTTTTTAGGGATCGACTGATTATCGGCCTGGGCGATTATCGTGGTAATATTCTGCATTATCAGATTATCAGTATCGTTACTTTTTCAACCGATAACCGATAAAATAAAATATCGCTGAGTAAACGTGTTACTGTGTTACATTTTAAAAGGGGAGGGGTAAAACATCTTATTTGGTGATAATGATAATCTATGATAAAACTACTAAATTAAAGAACATCTCTAGGCTGCCAGGTGTATCACTTCAGAGGTGAGAACAGCACCAGAATCAACCAATTAATTCCAGTCAGACACTTTGCAGCCTGTGCATACAACTGATAATTACTAATATACACTCAGTTGTCAGTTTATTGGGAACATGTGGATAAAACTTATGTAGTCTAATATAACGGTCATATAACGGCCCTGAAAAAACCATATCGATCGATGCCTAAT